CTCTTCCTGCTTCTTCAGGCCCGAGGGGGTCACGCCTCGTCTTGACTTTGCTGTAATTCCCACGGCTCTCCCTCCAACCTTCCCTTAATACAGACTTCCTGTGGTCACCCCACTAAACCCTGCGCACCTGCCTCAAGTATCCCACCGCCAACCTGCTAACCGTCCGCTTGCTCTGTTTTTCTGAGTTGACACCCCTTGATGAACACTACTCCTGGCTGAGCAGCAACAAAGCATGTGTGCCGATGAGCTGCGGCCCAGCAGGTCCAGACCCCAGCCCCACATCTACCGGCTGTGGGATCTGTTTGTGCCTCGGGTTCGCCCCCCAGTCCCTGGGGTCACAGAGCAGCGACGAGGATTAGATGGCGTCATAGCCGGGGGAGCCTGGAAGAATGACCCGCACAAGCTGAGGACTCCACGAGCACCAGGCTTTACGATTTCCCGCCCCCCGGCACTCGTGCGGGCACCTGCATGCCTCCGCCGTCGCGCTCCTTGCCCCGGGCTTCCGTCCACCCGCCACCCTCCCTCCCATGCCCCGCAGCCACCTGGGATGAGCGTCTCAAGTCTGTCTCCCTCCAACCTTGAAGAGACAACCCACTTTTTCTCACCGGGAGGAAGAGGGGATTTCTGGAGGATCTTATCCAGGAAATAAACCAGCTGGTAGGTCTTCCAGGCAGTGGTGGACACGGCCTCAATGGCCGTCACGTCCAGCTCCTCGGCCGCCCACAGCTGGGCCAGCTCCTCAGCTGGCCTCATGAGGGAGTCCCCGGGGGAGAGGTCAGGGAGGTAGGGGGGCCAGCCCGGGGTGTTCAGCCAGCGATCAAATTCAAATCCTGTTTGGCAGAAGTAGAGAAGATACCGTCAGAATTCCCCAGCAGCATCACGGGCCGCCCGCCCAGGCGGCTCCCGAGACCTCGAGCCTCCGTCCGTCCCAAGCTCTTCCCCCAACGCTGGCACCACTGCCCCGCACGATCATCCGCTCCACAGGGTCCCAGCCAGCGTGACGCCTAGACACTGTCTCACGGACCTGGCCACCCCTTTCCACGTGAGCACGTTCTGTGCTGTACATCAGCCGTCAGAGCCACGTGCACAGACGCGGCCCAGCCCCCACCACCAGAACGGCCATGCTGATGGCCCTGGGCTCCGGAGCCAGCCGCCTGGGGTCCTGCCCGGCCCCACCCCTCACTAGCTGGCAGGCAGCTGGCCTGGCGCACCCAGCATGGAGCAGGAAGTGGGGACACATCTAACGAGCTGCCTGGCCCACGACGGGCCGTGCTCTCTCAGGAAGCAGGCCTCTCACGCGCTCCCCAGGCGGGGCCGCTGCCCCATTCCTGCCCTGGGAGCCCCTCGGGGCGGGGGCAGGCCTGGACAGAGCCAAGGGTCTGACTGCGTGTGTCCGGGGACGGGGAGGCCAGAGGGCAGAGAAAGGGAGGCAAGCACGGTGGGGAAAGGGGGCCACAGGGGGTGCGCGAGCCCCTCCTGCGGGACAGAGCCCGGGCCCTGGGCCGGCCCCAAGACGCCGCCCCAGGGCGCGCACCTCAGCCCCCACCCTCCACGACCACCTAGGAGCGGTGGCCCGGCTCCTCTGCTCACCCGGGATGGAATCCACCCCCCTTCTCTTCAGCTCAGGGAAACAGTCCAAGAAGAATTCCAGAAAGTCATCAGCCAGGACACTTTGGAACTTAAACTCATTCACGTAGGCCTGTGCGGAGGGAGGCACGGTCGGCCACCCAGAGCCCCGGGCAGCGGGGCCCTCGCCTGTCTCCCCTCACCTCAGAGCTGACGTACCTTGAGGAAATCGTCAAACTGGTCCTGGTCACCCACCAGGTGGGCCAGGTAGGAGACAAAGCAGAAGCCTTTCTCGTAGGGGGTCTCGTTGTAAGTATCGTCTGGGTCGACACCTGCAGAGAAAGCTCTGGATTCAAAGAGCAGCCACGGAAGAGACCGGAATTCAGCTTCCCGGGAACCGCAAGGCCACGAGCGTTCCGGGTCCATCCTGGCCTCTCTCGAGGGACCTGAAGATGGACCCAGTGGGAGGACAAAGAAAGCAGGCTCAGGGGGATCGCGGCTGCCCCCTGCCCGGGGCGCTGCGCTCGGGGGGTCCTTCCACCCAACACCTTCCCAGCCCCACGGGTCACCCGCAGGCGCTGCGCCTGCCCAGACCGGGGCGGGGTGGGTTCTGTGCATGTTCTGGAGTAAACAGAACTGACTGCCCACCTACAGGCAGTTCACGGTCAGGGTCAGAGGCATCGAGGAACACCGCACAGAGAGCTTTAAGTGAGTCACACGTGGAACGGAAGGAAAATCTTAGGAAACCAAAACCCATGACCTCAGAGCAGTCATGAGCTTTCTGGTGCTGGGTCACGCCCTCGGTGAGGTGAGGGCGACCTCGCTCTAGAAGCGCCACGGGGCTGAGCTGACCATGGACCAGGGGCGGCAAAGGGACGAGTAAGTGACAGGGACCCAGATGCACTGAGCATCTCGGAGTTGCTCAGGAGCGGCCTGGGGGCTCCTCCCTCCCGAGGGGGGATCCAGCTGTGCCCAGCCCGACGGGGGCTGGACGGCGGCCGGGGCAGCCCCGACCTGGCTCCATCTTCACGCGCAGCTTGTTCAGCGGGTGCTCCTCGCCCGTGACGTCCATGTGCTGCCGAAGCAGAGCCCGCCCGGTGGCGGCTTCCAAGCAGGTGTAGGCGGGTCCTGCGCGACAGGAAAGCGGCTGGCACCCCCCGCGGTGCCCACGAGGCCCCCGAAAAGAGGACGGAGGCCCCAAGCCCGGGGGTGGCACTCCCCAGGCACGGCAGGCGGCGGGGGCTGTGGACGGCTGACTCCTCAGCCTGCCCCGCCCACACCGCCCCTCTGACAGTGGGTGACCTTTCCCTTCAGCGTGTTGTTATCTGTGGAGAAGGTAATTTGATCTCCCACGAAGATAGAATCTCTTCATCTGACTTCTGTCAGACAAGAGAAACTGTCACCCAAGATTTTTCTAGCATCTGGGTCTCCTTCTGGCTCTAAAGACGTCTGAGGGAGGGAATCCCCTGGCGGTCCAGTGGTTAGGACTCGGCGCTTTCACTGCGGAGGGCCAGGGTTCAATCCCTGGTCGGGGAACGAAGATCCCACGTGCCGTGGGAAAGAAAGAACAACAACTGAGGGGACAGTGTTGGGGAGGGCCCGGGTGTGTACCAGCCACCGCCGCCGCTCGCGAGATGCTCTGATCTGGGCCAGTGACCCC